CTTAAAATCATTTAAAATCTTTAGGCCAAGTCTAATAAATTATTCTCACGATGAGTGCTCGTAAAAATGAACGAACTTTTTAACTAATGGATTAAGTGTACTGAAAATTACAAAATGCTAGATTGCCCCAAACCCAGTGTCTTATTTCCAATTTTACAATTCTATTTAAACATTTTTTTGTAAAAAAGTCTGCATAAGTTGTAGCCGCTCCGATTGTACAATTCGTTACCTATTGAATTCTTCAAGAATTTCGTAGTTGACAGAATTTGCCCCTGTAAAACCTTTTATTCATGCCTGATCTTGAGTTAGGGCTTGCCTCCCTCCTAAGTGGGCTCGCATGCGCATGCGCGCGGGTGCGTGCAGAGCAACGAGTGAATCAGAATGCGATGTTTGCCACATTCCCTCTGCTAATCGGTGTTTCGTGGAGTCCCTCGTAATCCACCTCAATTGCTGCCGAGCCAAGGGGAAGGGCGACATCGGGAAAAAAGGCTACAGGACACCTACGAGTAAAATATGATGTTCTTGATCGTCTTCCCTTTAATTACAAGACATTATTTTAATTACTCTGGGTAATGTGCTTACTTCAAACAGTAAGGGTACCTTTTGTTTAAAATTGCCTTCAATCACCAGTGGTGGCGTTACATAATTTGCATCTGACTTCGGTACTGATTTAAGTGTATGCCGGTACGAGCAGAGAAACTCGAATTCAAATTATTCTCAATTTGTATCACGCACACAACGATAAATTTTTAGCACCGCATTTGGTGTCTCATAATGTATCAAGTCAATGTGAATGGCATTGTGGCATCACGACTATCGTACTCTTCAATTTAAACCACGAATTCGTTTATGGCTGGAGAGTTGTGATTAATGCTTTGGCGTGGCTGGCGAAGGGCAAGCAGCGCAGCTTTGCCACCTGCCTCTTTCCACGTGCTCGGAGAGGCGTGGCGCACTCGTGTCAAAGTCACGTGATTTGCACGTGCTTACGTGTGAGGCTAGCTTACGCCATCTCCACTCCATGTTGCAAGCGCTGTTAGGGTTCTTTATCACATCACCTTCTGGCTTTCTACCCAAAAAA